TTTTGGAAGAGGCAAATCTACTGGTTTTGGCTTGATTTATGATTCTATTGAGAATTCAAAGAAATACGAGCCATAATTTACTTTTTTTTTCTTCATCTATCATTCATGGGCTTTGAGAAAAATATTTGGTTCTGTCATTGATCTTCTACTCCCCTAATTGCTAATTATATCCGGATTGCAAATCATATATCATTCATGTTCAATTTTACAATTAAGCAAATTTGCAAAATCCTTTCAGATTCTGTGTTGGGGTGAATTTACCTAAAAATATAATCTGTGTGATTGATCCATACGAGTCACAGGCTTAATGATGCGTCTCATTTTATTGTTCATGTTATTTCTTTTTTCAGGTTGATCTGCTCAAAGGTCAGAAATCAGATAAAGTTGATGTCACATTACAACCAGAAGAGTTGGAAGTAATGAACAATGTCTTGCATGCAAAGTAAGTCCGAGTCCTCATAGTTTGTTTAGTGTCAGTGTCAGTATCAGTACATTAGCTACAAGGCGCTTAATTCATATTTATTTTGCATTTCACAGGTATGAGGAAGCAAGGAGGAGGAGAAGCTGTGTAGTCAGCGGGAGGATTTCAGTGACACGGTTGCCGAGGTGTGCATCTCTCACAATCTTTCTGATTTTGTACTTGTTTTAATTAGTATTTATGGAAACTTTTGTTCTGATGAGGTGGAATTTTTTAGAATGAGAAGAAGAGGAAACGAAAAATGCAGGAAAAGGATGGAAAATCGAAGAAAAAGGATTTCAAGTTCTAGGACGTGCTGCTGGTTTTGTGATCGGAATGTTAGAATGCCAGATCCATTATGCTTTTCTTAGACACCTCTAAATTTTTATCATTCGGAATCATAATTGTTGTGTGTCCATTGCCAAAAATGTAGTCCCATTCAATGGCACCAAACACAGCCTTTGTGTTATGGGTTTGGTTAATGAGAAATTTGTTGGTGATTTTATAAGCTGCTACTTTCTATTTCCCCATTGCTTAGGATGGAAAATATGTTATATATCAAAGTTGCTTGATGGATTTCATGTTCCTGGTGTGAATGCATGCTTTTCCTTGAGACCAGATAACCTAAATCATAGTTGAGACCAACAATTCTGAATGAAAATAATTTTTAGAAATGCAGGAAAACAATTGTATACATAGCTCATAATTTTTAGAAATACAGGAAAACAATTCTGAATGAAAATAATTTTTTTAGTTATTTTTCATTTAATACAGGCCATTTTCATATTTTTAATAATTTTATTATAGTTTTTAGTTTTTTTTTTTTTTTTTTGAGACGGCAGCACACACACCATCTCAAAAAGAAAAATAGAACCAGGGTTTTTTGCAACGGCAGTAATACTATCGCAAAAGATAGGCCATTTGTTGAAAATGAAGTTTTTTAGCGACGGTGTCATTTGTCGTCGCCAATAGTACTTTAGCGACGGCATCAAGTGCTGTCTCAAATAACCCTTTAGCGACGGTATTTGTGCCGTCGCAAATAACCCTTTTAGCGATGGCAACACAGTGCTGTATAAAAAAAACTCAGATTTTTATGCGTTAATGCCGACAATATTTTTCTGTCACAAAAAGGCATTTTTGCCGTCGCCTTTTTTTTGCGACGGTGTTATACCGTCGCTAAAACCCTTTTGCAACCCCCTTTGTTGCGACCCCCCATTTGCCGTTGCAAAAGGCCAGTTACCGTCACAAAAAACCTTTTGAGACGGCGTTCTGAGTATTTGCGACGGCATTTTACCGTCACAAAAAAGTAATTTTTTTGTAGTGATACATATTCTGTGCACAGTAACCAATGCATATTCGATGCAATATGTTCAATGAAGAAACGCCCGTCTCAACCAGACCGATTCAGACGCAACCTCCGATTTATCACTTGGAGAAGTTGCAATGAATTAAAAGGATACACCTCGTACGTGCTGAGCATCACATGCTGAAAACATAGTCCGGAGCTTCCGCGCAGGCCACTTGAGCTTAAAAAATGTACTTCCCTTGCATTTTCTTAAGGGATCTTGTGCTGTTGGGGATCTCTTGCTTCTGCATCTCACACTTCCAAACCACAGGTATTTCTTTTCTTCCTGGCCATGTTCACAACTTTCCCTATTCTCCAACAGGGTGATAGACTAGATTGGTTTAGTATCCGAAATTGAGGCGCATACCCGCTACCTCAAACTATAGGGCTTCCATACAGTTTCAAGCCGGGGATACACCCCTAGGTATTTAAACCAGACTTTAGTCTCGGAAATCCCGAATCATTGCGTTCTAGGCATTAGCCATTCGAACTCTAGTTTCCACCGTCTCAGTTGGTCTCCTAGGAACTCATTGCAAACACAGCCAAGATGCCTTTGGCAGGAAACAATACTCAGAGAGAGCACTTCTGATCGCGATTCTAGCTTGAAGCAGGCTAGATCTTGAGCTTGAGGTAGAGGCACACTCATACTTCGAAGCATTGCAAGGCCTGAAGAGGCACATTCGGATTGCAATCCCGGAACTTGCTGAAGTTGAAACACACTCAGATGCTCCATATTTTGCCTCTTTTCTTTTGCTTTGTAGTCTGGAACCCAAATAGCTTCAGATAGGTCCTGGTTTTACTGTTCTCACATGACCTGGGTTGAACCATGCAGTTTTATGAAAGAACAAGTCCTGTTTTGCACATATGTAGAGAACGACATAACACTCTGAGCACAAAACAATTCGCTTTTGAAATTAAGAAATGATTTCTTAACTTGGTATTGAGCCTACGACTGAACACAGCACACCACGACTCAACAAAGAGAAAATGAAGGTAAAACAACCTAAACACATCTATTGACACTCGAAATGACTCAAAACAAGAATCGAGATAAACCAAAAATGCACACATAACACTCAGATGTGTTAAAGGCGAGAGACCCTTCGGTTCACGAGGAGCCTGTTTCTCCGGGAAGTGTTTCCCACCCTTTCTCATTTGTGATTCTCACATCACTCTGGCACTCAATCTCTTTTTCTCTGAAAGCCCTTTTCTCACTTTTTCCTCTCAACACACATCTCTCTATTCTTCAATCTCTCTTATTTTTTATCCCTTCCCTGGTGTTGATGGATAAGCAGGAAGTTGTGGGCTCTTGCCCCTAGCATTCTGCCAGATGCTCTTTCTTCCGCTCACGACGGTGAGCTTCTCCTACAGAGGGGTTGTGATGTGATTGGACATGTAGCAAATCTGCAACTGACATCTGTGACGATGCCCCTGGCTTAGCTTGAATGTGATCAGATCTGTCCAGATGAAGGAGTGGAATATTCTGCTCCATTCCAGTTCGTGCTTCGCACTTGACTTGGTACCTCACTGCTTGAAGGATGAGAGACTTTCGGCCCTTTTGCTGTTAGCTTCAGTTGTGCCCTTTCTTGCCAAATAAGGTGCCCTTTCTGGGAAGTATGGTGCCCTTTCCGGTGAGTATGCTGACAATGGGAAAAGACAGAAAACATGACTCAACTGTGCCCTTAATTCATCATTTGACCATTTTTTGTTTTTGGCGTTCTAAAACAATTTTGACTAATATGAGAGTTAAATTAACATGCTTGTTCGATTTTCTGATTTGAAATCATGCAAATCAGGTCATGAGCACTGGAAATTTTCCTTTTTTGGGTCCAAGAAATGGTCCGATTTTGGAAAATTGGGAATTTTCGAGAAGACTAGTCAACCTCACTAAAAATCATCAAAACTGTTTTTACAAATGGCCACCACTCGACCAACACGAAATTAACCCTCGAGATGCACAACCTTAGATCCAAAACAATGGAAAATTGCCCTTTATCTAAATGGCACTGCATGGCAACAGAAAATTGCCCCTTGTCTGAACGACACTGTATGGCAACGGAAAGTTTCCCCTTGTCTGAGTGGCACCACATCGCACTGTAATCGGTCCTCAAAGTGACGATCACAACCGAACTCTCGGATATAGAGAAGACAAAGATGACCCGTTCAATCTCATGGACAGGACAGTTGAATTTGAAGTGTTTATGGCTGGACTTCAGAATGAAGTTGCCTACGTATCCCAAAGATGGGAATCAAGACTTACGTAGTTTGGGGTTAAGGTACCCTCGGGTATTAACCTCTCCTTTTATGCTCTAACTTTTGCCAAGGCCGCCCTTCCGGGTTTTAAACCTTGCGAGCTTTGTTTTTCTTTTCTTTTCATCTCTTTTCATCTTTTCATTTCTTTTCTTCTTTTCTTTTCATCTTTTCATTTTCTTAATTTTCTTTTCTTCATTTTTTTTCACTTTTTATCTTTTTTCTTTCTCTTGCTCTAACTTTTGCTTGGGTCGCCCTTCCGGGTTTTCGGCCCAGCGAGTTGTAAACGTGCCCGGATGTCACGGCTCCGCACACGAAGGCGCGAAATTTGTTTTGTTCATTGGCTTACTACAGTTCGGATTCAATGTCACGGTTCTGAATCTAATCTCGCAAAGTGCAATGTAAGACCGATAAATCACCAAAGAGTCCAAATCCGGCAAATGATTTTGGAAAACTGATTTTTGTAAAGAAGTGCCAAACATGGACTGCTTTGCCAGATACAGAGTCGCCACCTAAATATTTTGTTTTGGGGGGGGGGAAATTTAGGAAACCCTGACTCGTGCCAAAGGCCACGTGTTTGTCATCACCAAAGTTGCCTCGGCTCGAGAACTTGGGTACGAGAGGGGAAGGTCATGCAATGTGCACCCTCGCTTGCCCGATCACAGATCGACCTTTACTAACATTATATTTTGTTTTATGAAAACACATGTGTTCTTATTCCGGTTATTAGCTAGAATTACTATGTGATGCGCATAACACACAAGTATAGACTAGATCGCCTAAGTTGGAATAAAACATCCCATGTTTGTTTGTTTGAAAATGGTTTGAAGGTGCTACTCGCATGTAGGCTAAGACGTGGATTTTGCCACCCTCAAGTAGGCTTAAGAAACATGATTTTACCACCTCAAGTGGGCTTAAAACTCGCATTTCGATGAATTGTTCCAATTCAAGTAATCCAACCTTCATCCACAGGCATTCAGACAGTTATATCACTTAAGCAATTAGCCTCATGGCAAGCATGCTATCATGGCAACACTTACACTCATGCAAGATGCTAAAGCATAAACACTTACAGTGTACTCTAAGCCAAAAAAAGAAGCTAGTTAGTAATCATGCATGACCCTAGTTATGTTATGATGGCTAATGCAACACATGCAAAATGCAACTAGAAATAGGCTCGACTATTCTAAAATGGTATATGAAATGCAACTTGATAATCATGTATTCAAATCGGAATTGAAATACAATGCAGTTAGTATGATGCGCCGAGCCCAGTGCATGCAGAACAGATGAATGAATGCAAACATGCTATCATAAGGATGCTAATCGAAATATGACCTAAAACTAACCATCATAAGCGATTAAGTAAAAGGGAGAAAGACGTGGGGTTGGAAGACATTCACACACTCACGCACACTTATTACAAAATTGTGCCCTCTCGACGGAGGGTCCGAATAAATAATACAAACCATCTAATTAACTAACTAACAAGCTAATTAATTATTACAAAACCCTTAACTAATTAAACAAATTAATTAATTTACAAAACAGTTAAAACAACCTCAAAAAGAGGGACAAATGCATGCTCGATCGGTTTCGCTCAAAAATCCGTTGCCATGCCTCATGTTGCCTCTGTTTGCACTGTTTTACACCTCTGAAAACTGTGCCAACTTCTGTGATGCTACTGAACCACCTTATGGACAAGCAGAAAGGCCATCGCCCAATTGGTATGGCTATCGGCCAAGGGGGAAGGGAAATCGACCAATTTTTATGCTATCGGCCAAATGTTTTTAGCTGATCGGCCATTTCTTCCTGTAA